TCTCTCTCTCTCTCTCTCTCTCTCTCTCTCTCTCTCTCTCTATCTATCTATCTATCTATCTATCTATCTATCTATCTATCTATCTATCTCTATGTATGTATGTATGTATGAATGTATGTATGTGTGTGTGTGCGTGAGTGTGTGTGTGTGTTTTAAATTTTCACCACAACAGCCCCTGTTCCACCCAGACGAGTTGATCCAAAATCAAAGCAGCTTTACGTATATTGCAGACAATGAAGCACACTAAAGATGAGCCAATCCAACACTGAAACAGTTTTACCTCTATAGCAAACAACATGAATCACAATATATCTGTTACATCCCTTTCTTTTCTTTTTTTTTTATTCTTTCTTAAGTATCTTTACATCGGCTTTCTTTGGGGTACTCCATTCACTTGTTCTCGCATCTTACCTTTTGCTGTGCCTCTCACGTACAAGTCTGGCCACATTAATTGTGGTTTAGCGCCAGCTGCCCACATCCCCATGTGTCTTAATGGCCCAACTGCACGTTATGAAAAGGGGGAGGCATACACCTGTTCATTTTTCTTCAGATCTTCAGTTTATATTTTGTCTGTTCTCTCACTGATGCTCATTCGTATGCATTTACTGGTAGTACACAAGAGGAGGGAGGAAGGGGTAGGGATTGGAGTTCTGTAGGAAGCGAGGGGCAGGTGGGGGGGGAAGGGGCAGAGGAGGGAAGTGGAGGGAAGTGGAGAGGCAAAGAGCAGAACAGAGGGAAGACCAACTTTCACAGAGTTCTCACTGAATACTCATCGCTGGAGCAGACTACTCTAAAATGGCACAAGAGGCCAGTCAGTGTTTGGGTTGCAGGATATCTTTTTGAGTTGACGAGCTGCCATTGGGTATCGTGAGTGGCCACCCCTACAGACCGGACAGGAACGGTTCGGGTGAAGACTGTGGAAGCACCGCAATGCCATGTGCCTGTGACATATGGCTATCGTGAGTGGCCACCCCTACAGACCCCAGACAGGAGCTGCCGTTGGCTATCGTGAGTGCCATTCCATGCAGCAACTGCAACTGCGAGAATTGAACACTGCGCAACCAATTCTCGCAGTTGCAGTTGCTGCATCGAATAGCACGATGTAGACATATGTCACAGGCAACATGGCTCGTACACGCTACTAGGAACACAGAGCCACGCCGACCGCCATTGTATAGGCATTGCTGTTCGAGCCCCTGTCTACAAATCGGGCATGACATGTCAGGGTGCCCGTACACGAGTGCAATGTAGACTGGCATCATACGTATGAAAGCCAAAAAACTTTTGCGGGCTATGCCTACGTAATCCTCACGACACAAAACATGCGAGCCGCACGCTAGCCAAATCTCAGGTGGGCCATCACAGAGCGGCATTGAGCATGTTTCTTGGGTTTCATCAGTCCTTACTCCCTCTCTATGGGCAGGCAACAGTGAGGGCTGATCCAGAAAAAGGGTGTTTAGCTGTTACAAGATTTGGCCTGCAACAGCTTGCCCTGGCGGTGATGACCTTTCATTACGGCGTGCTGTAGGTGGTTCATGTGACAGTTCATTTTCCACCTCAGGCTGCTGCGTCTGTTGTTCATCTGGAAAGGATGATGATGGAGATCTGATGGCAGTTCCCGCCGGTGTATGCCCAATGCTGCATGTGCGACATGCTTTTGGAGAGGATGTGGTGGGCGATAGCATCGGGGGTAGTCCACGCAGTAGAGACACATGCTTTCAATCACAGCTTCCTGAAAGGACTGACAGCGCATGCCAAGCCCCTGGCATGCTAGCAGGAAAGCAGGCTGGCATTCACAGCTATTTAAGCATGGCATGTCATGGCCACAACGGCATATCGGGTAAGTTATAAGGGGGTGGGCAGGATGAGTCCAAGACAACGGGTCGCAGTTTTTGCAGCAGAGGCTGGCACGTTGGGAGCAGAGATTATAGTGTGTGTATACTAACTGAATTATAGCTGTGTGGAGACACACTGGCATGGCACAGCCACCATTCTATGCAGAGAATCCTATGGAGAGAATCTGTGAGCAGAGATCATGCTGTGTGCGCGCTAACTGCGGTAAAATCTGTGTGATTTACACAGGGAAGGGACACTGTGTGGCCATGCACAGGGGAGGGGGGAGGCTCAGCTGGGTTGTTCTCCGGAGGCTGTAGTAGAGCTTGCGACTGCATATCTAGATGCTGTTCAGCCTCCTGATGAGTCGGTGAAACTCCGATGAAACAGTTTGTCACAGCCCCTCGTTTGTTGTCCTCTTCTCCCTCCCTCTCTGCCTACGGTTTACCGGGCAGCTCTGTTTGACTCTCTCTCTCTCTCTATATATCGTCAAATAGAACTGCCCGGTAAACCGTAGGCAGAGAGGGAGAAGAGGACAACAAACGAGGGGCTGTGACAAACTGTTTCGTCGGAGTTTCACCGACTTATATATATCGTCTCTCTCTCTCTATATATATATATATATATTTCTATTTGACGATATATATATATATAAATAATATATATATATATTAAATATATATATAATCTTTTCAATCCAAGGAAAAATGGTAGAGGGAAGCGCCAAGTGCCCACCCACCGTACAACTGTGTGTGAGTGTGTGTGAGTGTTGTTGAGTGTGTGTGAGTGTGTGTGAGTGTGACTCTGTCCTGTCTCTTATACACATCTAGATGTGTATAAGAGACAGTCTCTCATGTGAGCACTGTCATTTTCTATCAATGTACAAATGAAGGGCACAAACAAACAAATGGCATAAAGGAGGGAGAATAGGCATGATGCTTGTTTCTGCAAACATCTTTCCACAGATCAGGAGAGATCAATCACTGGCATAAACCTAGGCAGACCATCTCACCTGCCCATTCGCGCTTGTTTTCCGCGCCAGTTCCTCCTCTAGTCTGCAAGGATAGACAGCAGCAGCACGCTGACGCACTTAGTATCTGGATTTTGGTTCAGAACCTTCTTCTTTTTCTCATTAAAAAAACACACACAAGAAAAAAACTTCCTTCTTCCATTCTTTTCTCTTTAAAAAGCGTGACGGCCTTGAGATTTCATCTTCAAACTCACCGGCCCTGGGTAAGTTCAGCGCTATTTACTCGTCCGAGTTGATTGGGATTTGGACTGAGGCTGGTATTTCAATTTTCAACAGTTCATGGGTGTACAACTGAGCGAGGCCGAGTCGATTTACTCGTCCGAGTCGATTTACTCGTCCGAGTCGATTGGGATTTGGACTGAGGTTGATTTTTCTACAGCATCCAGACAGGAAGTCACCTTTTTCTATTCAATGAAGTTTTCTGAAAGTTTTTTCCTCTTCTTCTTTCATGCATTGAATGTCTTTCGGACCTTCCCCCCTTTGCTGATATCCACAGTATTCAGAGTCTTTTTCAGACCTGTTGCCAAGTGCTTCCCCCCTGGTTGGTCTTGGTAGGGGCTATGGACCCCTTCCTTCCTGTGCTATCGTCTTCACCCGAATAGAAAGCCCAGTCATTATAGCTGCATTTGGCCTAGCTTTCAGTCCAGATGTAGCGATAATTACCGGGCGTTCTATTCGGGTGAAGACGGTAGGGGTTAGGAGCTGAGGTACTAATTCCCTGCACAGAGCAGAGTAGGATAATGGGAAGTCTCTGTCTCTTATACACATCTAGATGTGTATAAGAGACAGCACACACACACACACACACGAACGGTCAAACACA